GAATTTCTTTTTGAGTTAGGTGTGTTTCTTGTATACAGCATATTGTTGGGTTTTGCTTCTTAATCCATTCTACCAGTCTCTTTCTTTTGATTGGTGAATTGAGGCCATTAGCATTGATGGTTGTAATTGATAGATATTGATTCATCCTTGTCATGATGTTTTATTTTTGTTGGCTCTTTTATTTCTTATTTTTTCCCCCTTTCCCTTTAGTGTCTTACCTTGTCTGGTGGCTTCCCTCTGTTGGGCCTCATGGAGTTGTGACTTTCATTGTTTTTTTCTAGGATATTGTTTTTTTGGGTTTTTTTGGGGGCGTTTTTTTTGGTACCAGGGATCGAACTCATGTCCTTGCACCTGCGCAGCAGGTGGCAAAACTACTGAGCTAAATCCCCAGCCCGAGAATATTGTCTAGAATTGCTTGTCGTGCTGGTTTGCTGTTCCTGAAATTTCTAAGGTGTTCTTTGTTATGGAAGTATCTAATTTCCCCATCTATTTTGAAAGACAATTTTGCAGGATACAACAGTCTAGGTTGGAAGTCATTTTCTTTTAGGGCTTGAAATACTTCACTCCAGGTTCTCCTTGACTTGAGGGTTTCTGTTGAGACGTCTGCTGTGATTCTGATGGGCTTTCCTTTGTAGGTGATTTGTTTCTTTTCTCTAACTGTTTGTAGGATTTTGTTCTTCTTTTGGGTTTCTGGGATCTTGACTAGTATATGTCTAGATGTAGATTTTTTTTTGGTCATGGCTAGTTCGAGTTCTGTGTGCCTCACTTAATCTGTATGTCCAATTCTCTACCTCTGTTTGGAAAGTTTTCCACTACTATTTCTGTGAACAGTTTTTTTGTGTCAATTGTACTTTGTCCTATTTTTTCATGGACTCATATCAGTCTTATGTTATTCTTCTTTGCATCATCTAGCAGCTGCTGGATTGATTTCTCGTGGTCCCTTATTATTTTTAGGAAATCTCTGTTTTCATGGTCTTTAATCGTGATCCTGTGTTCTATATCTGATATTCTATCTTCAGATTCTCTTTATCTGCTGTGGATACTTTCAGTGGAGTTTTTAATCTCCTCAATATCTGTTTGAATCTGTTTCATGGATTCCATTTCTTTCTTATGTTGGGCGATCATGGTTTCCATTTCTTCTTATGCTAGGCATTCATAGCTTCCAGCATGTTTCTGAGCTCATCTATGTTTTTATCAGTTTCTGTTCTAGAGCCTCTAATCATGTCTTTCACTCTCCTCACCTTCTCTGTGAATATCTGGGAGATTATTTTTGCTTTGAATTTTTCTAGAGTGTCATTCACCTGTTTTGTTACTTCCTGTGCTTTCAGTTCATTGTTTCTACCTCTTTTCCCCCCGGGGTTTACCCTTCGTGGGGTGGAAGTCTGAGTTTGTGCCTTTCTTAAATAACTTCTCATTTTTGTTTTTGGTACTGTCCTTGGTTTAACTCCTGGTTGATACTTCGAAAATGCTTAGTGTAAGTATCTTTGTTGCTTGTAATTAGAACCCTTATGGAATGATTGCTTCTCAGAGGTGTATTCCAGATACAGCTGTTCTTTAGGTTTTGAGTCTAATGACTGTGATGTTCTCTTATTTTCATTATACCAGCAGGGATCAATAACAACACCTTAGCCCAAGTGATACTAATCAGCAACACCATAGCATCAAGTACATCTTAGAAAATGATATTTTGTAGTAGTTATTAATCTATCGCCTTTAACTGTATGAATTAAATAAAAATCGAGGACCAACCCAGTATATGTTTATAGTGAATAAATTCTTCAATATAACAGCTTTAACCTTTGGGATGGGGAGTTAGAAGGAGTTGGGGAGGGAGGGATAGATAGGTAGAAGGATAGCGGAAGGTTAGCAGTGAGGCCAGAGGATACAGGTGAGCGAAGGAAAAAGAGAATAAAAGAAAAATAAAGAAGAAATCCGAATGAAGGCCAGAACAGGAACAAAAAGGGAGATGAACAATGTCGGGCAGCAAGAGTGTGAGTGTAGGAGAGAGAGAAAGGAAAGAGAGAAGAAAGAAGAAAAAAAGGAGAGAAAAAAATTTGCAAAGAGTAGGAAAAAAAAAAGAGAAAGAAAAAAACAAATCAATAATACTAATTTTGGAAATAAAAATAAAAATGAGAATGAAGGGCCTCCTTCAGGGTATGTCTCTGCTGTCACAGTAGACAATGTGGGTAACAGTATGCAGATATATGTCAGTGAGTCTCAGCAACCCAGTCTCAGCAACCCAGTCTCAGACCCATGAGATTCAGGCAGATTTCTGGCTGCAGGTCCCAAGTTGAGCTCCCTGTCCTCCTGTAGGGTTGAATTCTGAAAGGTTGTACTGCAGGTTCCAGCTGCCCTTCCCCTGAAGATAGTCCTGGTTCCAATGGGAGGTGGCCAATTTACCCAGTACAGTGGTCTGGTGGTCTGGGGTCCTCTGTGTCTTTGTAGTGTGGAACCAGGTGGCAGTACAGCCAAGAGGCCAGAGGAGTGGGGCGGGGCAGTGGATTGCTACCAGGGCGCAGGCTGGATTGGCCGGTTCCCTGGGAGCAGGGACCCCGCTTTGGCATCCACAGATGTGCCTGTCTGGCACAGACATTTTAGAAAGCATTTTTACAGTTTGAATTTTTAAGTTTCATAAGTAGTATAATTCTATAATTGGCAAATTTACCTGAAATTGATGGTAGGGGAGAATAAGTATGCTATAAACATAAGTATCTTTATTCACAGAATTCTTTATAATTGAAAATTTGAACTCAAACAGCATATTTTTATTTTTAAAGTAGAAAAACTGAAGTTTAAACTATAGTTACTATATGATAACAATTATATAAGCAAGTAAGAAATGGGAAAATGGCTACGATGCATATTAAAATAGTTATCTTTGAGTGGTAGGACCTTGTCTTTTTTAGTTTTACATATTAATATTGAGAATTCATACTTTTATCTTATTATTAGCTGTGGCTCTGGGAGTAGAATAATACCAGCTACCATAGGGGTTAATATTAAACAGGTTTAGGTTCAATATAAAATAATTTTTTTCATTTAGAGCCGTTTATGTATAGATTTGCTAAAAACTCATCTTTTTTTTTTGTTTGGTTTTGCTTTTTGGTACCGCGGATTGAACTCAGGTTCTTGCACTTGCGAGGCAGGTGGCAGAACCACTGAGCTAAATCCCCGGCCCAAAACTCACCTTCTTAATGAAACCTGTTCCTGTCATACTAAGCTGCCCCATTTTTCCTGTATTCCTAATCTGTTTTAAAATTTTTTTTCATATTACATACAGTTTGTTAAAATACAGATAATTTGCTTGTTTAATTTAATTATGTATAGTATCTCCCACCTCTGGAATTCTGGCTCCCTTTTAAAACAATACACATTTCTGTTTAGTTCGCTCATATATCTCAAGAAACTTGAACCCTGCCTGGCACACGGAAAGTACTCAATACACACTTATTGAATTAATAACTACTTTCTTATTAATTGTTCTGATCTTTACCTCCATAGCCCAGCCTCTACTATTGCCATATAAGCCATCTGGTAGTCCAAAAATGTACTATGTTCCACGACTACAAAGAGTTCCTCCAGTTCTGGATTCCAAATCGGACACCACCATTGAGAGCTCACATTCAGGTATTTTACAGAAATATTAAGAATTTTAGTTTTGAAATTTTATTTTTGTTTTGGCAATTATGAAATCACAAGTGAAAGTTCAGTGCTCTTTAATCTTTCAGTGAAATATGGAGCTTTTTATTTCTTGATTTCTGGTTCAGATTAGGTCGATTAAATCAGTTATATAACCTTAAGCATTTAATAAAATTTAATGAAGGAAAGTGCAAGTATAATTGAGTTAGTGGACTCAATCTAAGGAATAGTTTCCCAAGCTTTCTTGGTTCACAATATCCGTAGTGTCCCAGTTTTTTTTTCTCAGCCTAGGAATAATGCATATGTTTTTAAAAAAATAGCTTCTAGGGTAGTAGGGCATAAGCACCTTTTGTTTTTATCCAGCAGCTTAGTTAAATCAGTATTTCCTTTTGGCTTTTTAAAAAAAATCAAAATCATTTTATTTTGTTCATAAATAACCACAGTTACTTCTAATGAAATACTTATGTGTGGTTGTTGGACACTGTACCTCTTCTCATGCCTTGAGATGAAGTTGAACATAGCCACTGTTCTTCTCTGCTCTTTATTAAATAAGTATAAAAAATCCAGCTTTGCAGAGACATGACAGTGTTGGAAGAAATGTACCAGTATCTGATGTTGAGTTTTTGAACTACCTTGAGCTTGTAATTCATGGAGTACATTAGATATTAAATATCTCACCAGTGTTTCCTTAGAATTAAAATATTCTGCAGGATCCCTATGAGTTCATTGCAGGGTAATTGCAGACTTAGGAAATGAATAGTAGTCCCTGGAGGAGTTCAATAAGGTATTCCTTTGGGATTTTTAGAGTAAGAGTACTGAGTCGGTGTGGTGTTAGGTTTTGATTGATGGGATAACATTTAGACAAATTGTTTTCTTAATAATTTTTCCATAAACATGTTTGTGTAGAAATTGCAAATAAAAGATAATTTGCCCTTGGTATTATTTTATTTTATATGAAAATAGAACAAAGTAGTTTTAAATGGTAAATATATTAGAGCCTCTGATACAACCTCAAATTTCTTAGCATTGTGATGAAGCTGAAAGAACAAACCACAAAAATGCTCACCAAATGTAAGGATTAAATCTGTAGCCAAAAATGAAGAAATTTCCACTCCAGATAAAGCTGTGATGTTTAAAAACACACATTCCAGGAATAAAACAAACTTAATTAATTGTTATCAGGAAAAGTTTTGATCTCTCTCACTCCCCCAGGTTAGAAGACAGTACATTTGTAGACTGTAGAAGTCTGGTCATACTTTTGGAGGCCTCCAGGGTCTTGCTATCCATTAAATCTCTGATATTTCCATCTAGTTGAAGATAGTATCATAGAGAAAAGATTTGACAGTGGGTGAGTGATGAAGAGAAAGTGAGTCATTGGTGGTGCATTATATTCTGGGGAATTGTTTCTACACAAAGAAGTACTGAATACATCAGGGAGATAAAAAGATAGCTATATACATTTGAGACCCTTGTCTCAAAAAAAAAAATTTTACAGAAAGGCATCCACTTGTATTCAGTCTGTAAAATACTCACTTTAGATTCAGAGACGAATAAGTTGAAATTAAAAGAATAGAAAAAGATATACCATAGGTGGTTGTACTGTTAAACCAAAGAGCCTTAAAAAATTGTTACTACAAACATTTTATAATGACAAAGGTTAATCCATCAAGAAAATATAACAATTATAAGCAGGTTCCTAACCAAAAAGCCCCAAATACATAAAAACTGACAGATTAGTTTTAAAAATTTTTTTATTGGTACATGTTTGTAGTTCATAATGATTACATACATTATGGGGAGATGGTACATGTACATGACATTTCTTAATTCTTTATTTTAATTTTGCACATGTACACAGCACTTCATCCCCACCCCCCATTTTAAACTCATTTTCTTTCCCTCATTCTTCCATCCCCCATATGCCAAAGATCCATCTGCTATTTCCTATTGTTTATCTGTTATTTTAGGCTTGATTTATGTTTTGGCTTTCTCATATAAGAGAAACTACCTGATATTTAAACTTGTATGTCTGACTTACTTCACTTAACTTTCTGGTCACAAGGTGCATCCCTTCTAAAATGACTGGAATTCATCCTTCTTTGTGGCAGCGTAGTACTCCATTATGTATAAACAGCACGTTTTCTTTATTCATTAATCTGTTGATGGACATATAGGCTACTTCCAATATTTAGCTGTTATGAATTGTGCTGCTATAAATAAGGGTATGCTTGTATCATTTTAATATGAATGATGTCTTTAACTCTTTTGGGAAGATAACTAGAAGGGGAATAGCTGGGTCAACTGGAATTTCTATTTTTAGTTTTTTGAGGAATATCAATGCTGATTTCCATAGTGGTTGTACTAGTTTACATTCCTACCAACAATGAGGAACGTTTCTTTTTCCCCCACGTCCTTTCCAGCATTTGTTATTACTTGATTCTTTAAAGATAGCCATTCTTTCTGTAATGAGATGGAATCTCACTGTTGTTTTAATTTGCATTCCTCAAATGGCCAACAATGTTGAACATTTTTTTGTGTATTTATTGGGGATTTATATTTCTTCATCTGAGAGGTATCTGTTCATTTCAGATGCCCATTATTTGATTAGGTATTTAAATTTGGGAGGAGGCTAATTTTTTTGAGTTCTTTATATTTTCTAGATATTAGTTCTTTGTGGAGTAGCTGGCAAAATTTTTTTCCCATTGTGTAGGTTTTCTCTTCACTCTGTAGGTGGTTTCCTTTGCTGTACAGAAGCTTTTTAATTTGATATGATCCAATTTGTTGATTCTTGTACAACTGGGGTTCTGTTCAGAAGGTCTGCCTATGCCTGTGTCTTGAGTTTACCTATTCTGTCTTCCAGCAAGACTGCTTCTGTTTTATTATTTAGATCTTTGATCCACTTTGATTTTAGTTTAGTGTGTGGTGGAGAGGTATGAGTTTAGGTAGATAGTCAGTTTTCCCAGTACCTTTTGTTGAAGATGCTGTCTTTCCTCCAGCAAAAGTATTTGCCTCCTTTTTCAAAGATAAGGTAGCTGAGTCTGCCTGGAGTTATATCTGTATCCTCTGTTCTGTTCCATTGATCCACAAGTCAGTTTTTTTTCCCAATATCATGCTATTTTTGTAACTTTGTAATATAATTTGAAGTCTCTGATTGTGATGCCTCCTGCCTTGCACTTGTTGCCCAGAATTGCTTTTGCTATTCTAAGTCTCTTCTGAACTTTAGAATTATTTTCTGTAGTTCTGTGAGCAATGCTGTTGGTATTTTGACTGGGATTACATTTTAAAACTAACATAATTAAAGGAAGAAATAGAGGAAGTCGAACAAGTCTCAAAATGTCATATGTTGTATGGATTCATTTAATGAAATGTGCAGAATAGATAAATCTAGAGAGAGACAGAAAGTGGCATAATGGTTGACAGAACTGTGGGGAAAGAGGAAATAGAGAACTTGTACATTCAGAGTTTCTTTTTGGAGTGATGAAATTGACAGTGTTCATTGTGAATACATTTAAAACTGTTGATCTGTACACTTACTTAATTGGTAATTTTTTGTTATGTAAATTATATCTCCCGTTTTTTAAAAAGGAAGAGGCAGAAGTGAACAAAAGAAGGAAAAATTGAATGAAAAAGTAAAAAACTGGCAGCAGATTTAAAATGTATTTTTCAGACAAGTAAAATTGAAGGAAATTGAATTTGTGATAAGGACAAACTTGAGAAAGTCTGAAAATACAAATGAAAAGGAAAAACAAAATTAAAACATGAAGAGACGTAAGAAACACAGCTGATAACACCAGATCAAAAATTGTATTTGTAGATATTAGAACTGTGTGAATGAAAGCAATATTCAAGATTTGAATAAAATTTTTCTCTCTAAAAAGGAAAGAAAAGAAAATAATATATGGATTTAAAGTTCTCATACAATCCAGGCAACAATAAGTAGCAAGAAACAGATATATGCTGTACAAAGATTTTAACTTAAAATATATTAAAACTTACAGTCATACAATATTCTAAAAAAGTTACATAGCTAAAGGAATAAAACTTCCTTTGTTAAATACTGAATGTCAGAAATGAGCTGGACCAGGGATTTAGCTCAGTGATGCCATCTCCTACCTCACAAGTGCAAGGTCCCGAGTTCGATCTGCAGTACCAAAACATAAGAAGTGAGCTAAGAAAATCTATGTTTAGGGGCTGGGGATTTAGCTCAGTGGTTCCACCACCTGCCTTGCAAGCGCAAGGACCTGAGTTCGGTCCCCGGTACCAAAAAAAAAAAAAATCTATGTTTAGCTGGAAAAACATATAATTCAAGGCTTTGTAGACCCAAGAGCATATTTATCAAGTAGTATGGCCATAAAAAGACATTTTTTTTTTTTACCAATATTTAGTCACAGAGTTAAAAAAATACCAAAAATATTTTGTAGTGAAAGATATAAGAAGAAATTACATTTTTGTGTTTAATAGAAGAGACTAAAGGGTTTTTGTTTCATTCAAGACTTGATGAGAAGAATGTAGGATGAAGTTTTCGTAAAAGTGTAACATGATACCAGAAACATGGGTAAAAATAGAAAAATGGGTAATTTTGAACATTTGTATATCAAAGAATTACCACCAAAATAATGAACAGATAACTTATGAAATCAAGACTAAATATTTGCAGATCATACATCTGTTAAGGGATTAATATCTACAGTATGTGAAGAAGTCTTATAATTAAACAACAAAAATCCAAACAATTTGATTTATGCATGGCTGAAGAATCTAAATCCATATTTGTTCAAGGAAGTTAAGCACATAACCAGTAAACACATAAAAAGATGCTCTCCCTCCATAGTCACGGGGAAAATACAAGCCAGAACTATAATAACACTTCACATTCAGTATCACCACTGTTAAAAAAAAAATAGTGAAGAATTAATTAGACAGAATTAGAATCCTTCTCTCTTGCTATGGGAGTGTAAAATGATGTAGGCACTTGATGCACTTGATGAATAAAAAGCCAGTGTGGGTTCTTAAAATCATTTTTCAACAGATTTAAAGATTGAATTGACTTTTCTTAAAAATTCATGAATCATACAGTAACCCACAGTATCACTTAGAAAAGTTGCACTGCTAGGCATGATAGAACAATTGATTTTGATAAGGTAGTGCTATGACATATCTAGATGTCCCCCCAAAACCTCATGCTGTCATGGGTGGGGCTGTTCAGAGGTGGCTGGATCTAGACTGTGTGACACTGATATTAAGTGTGAGATGCTGGGATCAAGACTGTGAGATTACTAAAGTAGTCCACTTATTAATTTGGCATAGTTCTGGATAAGATTAAGGGTGCCCCACCCTGAGTGTGAGTGCTACTTGCCCTAAGGACAGGAAGCCTGGATAAAATATAAGGGACAAAAAGAGGGCTAGTGTTGTTCCTTACTGCTTGCTGCTTGCTACTTCACTGCTGGTTACCTTGTGCCTGCCCTGCTTTGGCATAGACTTTCTCTTCTGTGGTGCCCCTCTGCCATGCCTGACTACAGACTGAAACCTCTACAAACTGTGAGCCAGATAAACCTTTCCTTCTTGACTTTGGGTGTCTGGTATTTTGTATCAGCGATGAGAGAAAACTAAGAAAGATAGTATTTTAAAAGTAACTAACATACTACTTGATAACCATACCTGGAACAAGAAAACAATGTACTACCACAAAAAAGTGGATTGGTTAGCATAAGGGTACTTTCCTTTAAGAGGAAAGGACTTCCTTTTTATACTATCTCAGATTAAGTTGGCCTTTTCAAATAGTTGGTGTGAGCCTTTTGTTTCTATACAAAAAACAAAACAAACAAACAAAAACTGGTCTAAATAGGAAATAGACTTTAGCATATGGGAAGAGAACTAAGAGATGTTGGGGGCTATAAAGAGATGTGTCATGTACATGTACCAACTACCACAATGAATTATTCAGGATGTACCACAAACGTACTAATTTTAAAAACTGGTCTGTTTGGGCTATTTTCCTGTTTCTTTAAAGTTTCAGTTTGATTACGTGGCACTTAGCACAGTTTACTCCATTTTTATCTAGTCTGTTGGAGCCTTGTTCAGGAACTCAGTCTAAAACAGTGTCTTCCTATAAAATTTTATTTAACCTGGTAAAGCAGAGTGGTGGTAGGTTCAACATCATGTAAGGGCTTGTAAATCATATCAAAGCAGTTAGATTTTATTCTAGTAGGAAATTATACTTTGATTTATATTTGCAAAATTTATTCTGTTTGCTATGTGGAGAAATAACTTATTGATGGGAAGTCAGAGAACCAAGGTGGGGACAGTTAGAGTGTAAGTGAAGCCACAGAAGGATGTTGCAGTTATCAGTTTCAGAGGTGGTGGTACCTAATATTAGAGTGATGCCAATAGAAATAGAACAAAGTAAATACAGAAGTTTGAAGACTTTCATATCTTTTATTTCTTTTTGACATATTATCTTCCTTTTAGAGTTTTTTTTTTCCTTTTTGCAGTGCTAGGGATTGAACCTAGCACGTCATATATGCTAAAGCAGGTGTCCTACCACTGAGTTATATCCCCAACCCTCCTTTTAATGTTTTGTCTTTTGTATTAGAAGACAAATCTTTATAATTAGCATAGTTAATTATATTATCTAGTTGTTTAAAAAATCTTTAATGATTTTGCATTTCATGTACAGTAAAATTTATACTCTTCTACTTGAGATCTCAAGCACTGCTGAATTTTGTCCCAAGCAATTATTTTTAAATATCTCCTATATTCTTTTTAATGTGTCCTACAACCCAGGCTGACAGTAAAAGTGTATATTGTTCTTATACATCCATTCTCTTTGTTTATGCTGTAACTTCTACCTAAAATGCCTTTCTACCCTACCTTCCTCTCCAAACCAAAAAGCTTGTTTTTTTCTCCTCCAAGATAGTTTTTTCCTTCCTCCAAAAACCTTGCTGAATTGGAAATAATCACCCTTATGAAGTGATCAGTACTCTACATATATCTTCTATTATGCCATTTGCTTCTCTGTCTTGTTTTATTGGTATTTATTTTGCATGTCTCATAGCGCAGTTTGACAGGCATCTCCTTCTGATTACCCTGCAACACTCGCATTGTGGTGCCTTTTTTCATAGGAGTGGTCAAAGAGGCAAATTTTTAAAATGCCTTTTTTTCAACTTCAAGTTTCTATTTGTGCTACCTATATTACTTTCCCATTTTTTCTGTAGGATCCAATGATGCTGTTGCTCCGGTCTTTCCAGCCCAGGTGCTAGGCACAAGAGACGATGACCTCCCATCCACTGTGAACATTAAACATAAGGAAGGGATCTACAGTAAGAGAGCAGTAACTAAGGCATCCTTGTCAGTGGGGAAAAAAACCTCTCAGAAAGATAAATCAGGTAGTTGAAATGGCTTGTTATCCCCTTTTCATCCTAAATGATAATATCATCTATATTCTTTCTTATATTTGTTTTTGCAAATGTTTCTCCTTGTATGTATACTGCACATATGCAAGAAGAGAAAATATTTATAAAATTCTTTAAAGTGTTTCAGAGATGTTTGAAAATTATTTTCACCTTGAGAAATAAGATACGTTGCAACTTTTGAAATGAATTCCCAATCAAGTATGTTTTAGAGACTAAAGTTCATATAAAATATTGATTAAATTGACTCATGAATTTTTCTGTAACATGATGATGATGATGATGATGATGATGATGATGATGATGATGATTTTGGTGCCAAACAGTTAAAAATAAGATTTGGGCTTCCTTTGAAAAAGTAAACTATGTTTGGACTGAGCCCATGTTCCACAAAGGCAATAATAGTCAGCTGAGCTATGGCTGTACCCTGCAGACAGGATTTGTTCTCCTGTTACTTTAGCCCCTTAACAGTCAGACTCAAGAGGCGTCATTCAGCTACTTCATCTGTTTGGTCAATGTGGGTATTTGATTTTCAACCTTATCCCTAGATTTAGATCCCTCTGTTTTATAAATGATTTTAATCTTAAGGGACTCACTTACCTTTTTTCTTCTTCATCTCAGACATTGTACTTCTTTGATTTATACATGATAATATGTATTAAATGAAAACTCCAGTAGCTACTGAAAATTTTGTGTGTATAATTGCTATGCTTGTTATATTTACACGTTTTTAGTCTTGTGCATGGATATTAGTCATTAATAGGCACTACTGATGTGGTTCTATGTTCTAGTTTTGGCATTGTGTTGATGACTTTGTGAAGAAAAAGGATGAAAATATGCTAGCTAAAACACATGCATTTATTCTTCTAGATAATTTTACCACAATGCAAAGCATGTAAAAGTCTATTTTTAAATGCCTTTTGAAATGAGAGAAAAACAGTCACGTTTGTCAGCTAATATTGAGGCTGCCAAGTAAATAAAAGGAGAAATATGTTTGTAAAATGTAGTTCATAAATAAAAACTCTCATGCACTAGGGAATCTCTTACCTGTTTGCTACTGTCCATCTATGCTCATGGCAATTGAGTTGACAGTTACCCATATGATCTTGCTGTCAGAAACTTTCTGAAATGGTAGATATGAAAAAATTAGCAGGGAATAGGTTAAGTGAACTCCCATCAGACGTCTCCACAAAGAACTCACTAGCTATATCTCACCCCTGGGCTTCATTTGGTAAGCATGGTATGTTTGAAATAAAGTTAGGTTCAGTTTATTTCAGACTGAGGACTCCTAAAACCTCTTATCAGTTGGACTACTCCTAGACTTTCCTTTAGAGCTTTCTCATGGAGGGTGGCCTAGCAGACACTTGAGTTTCTGACTTTTAGCCCTAGGTCTGAATTAAATTTATTTAAAGCTGCCCAATTTGTAGTAATTTGTTTCACAACCCAAGGAAACTGATAAAATCACTTATCATTTGAAAATTTAAAGGTGTAATTCTTAGTACTCTGAAGTTAGAATCAGAATGGAAATTATAATATATTTCTAACTGAACAATAATAAAATTCTATTTTCAATTTATGGAAAATACCGAATGTGATATTTAAAGATGAAATTATGTACTTACATACAAATATTAAAAAATAAGAAAATCCAATCAAAATCCAAGCAAGAAACAAAGCAAATCCATCAGGCAAGGCAAGAAATTAAAAAGAGAGGGAGGAAAAATAAAAAAGAGCCAACAACAGGAAAATAATATGACAATGATAAGTCAGTACTTATCAGTTATAACCATCAATGTTAATGGCCTTAATTCACCAATCAAAAGAGAAAGACTGGCAGAATGGATTAAGAAGCAAAATCCAACAATATGTATATAAAAAATGCACCTAGTTCAAAAAGAAACTCATAGACTGAAAGTAAAAGGATGGAAAACAGTTTTCCATGCAACAAGAACCCAGACAAAAGTGGGGGTAGCTATCTTATTTGCAGACAAAGTAAATTTCAAACCAAAACTAATTAAAAGAGACAAAGAAGATCACTACATCCTTGTAAAGGGAACAATCCAAGAGGAAGAGATGACGATCGTAAATATATAAACACCAAATACGAATGCCCCAACTATACAAAACAGATATTAAGGGACATGAAAAACCAAATAAGCACTAACGCAATTGTAGCAGGGTACTTCACTGTCACAAATAGACAGATCATCTAGACCAAAAATCAACAACAAAATACTAGAACTGAACCAAGCTTTTGAATAGATGGACTTAATAGATGTTTACAGTGTTCCACCCCACAAAATCAGAATATACATTCTTTTCAGCTGAACATGGGTCATTCTCTAAAGTAGACCACATACTAGTTCATAGAACATGTTTAAGTAAATGCAAAGGAATTGAGGTTATCCTGTGTATATTATCAGACCATAGTGCAATTAAACGAGATCAAAAGCATAAGAAACCGCAAGAACTTCACAAACACATGGAAATTGAATAACATTCTCCTAAACAATGGGTCACAGAGGAAATTGGACAGTTTTTTGCAATTAAATGATAATGACAGTACAACATACAGGAATCTATGGGACACAGTGAAAGCAGTGCTACAAGGGAAATTCATAGCAGTGAATCCCCATGCTAAGAAAACAGAGGGAGCTCAAATAAACAACCTAATGCTGAATCTTAAGGTCCTAGAAAAAGAAGAGCATGACAAACCCAAAGCTCATACAAGGGAGGAAATTATAAAGATCAGAGCAGAAATCAATGCAATGGAGACTAAGAG